TTGGCCCCTCAGTGCGATCTTTCGTTTCGGTGACGCTTTAAGTGAAGAACGAGCTTTTCTGGCCCTCGAGACCTGCGGATAAAATACGTGTGTCATCAGAAATGTGCCCAGATTGGGGTTTGGGCCTGTTACTGTTCTGACATAGCAAGCAGACAAGCCGTCATTACACTTCAAGTAGTTCTTCTTAGTTGAAGAAACGATAAGGCTCCCCCACGTTTTCATTCAGTAGCTGCTTGTTTTCATAGCTGTGTTTTTGTATCAACGTTTTCTTGCATTTGGGTAGTAACCAGTCATTGGATGTTTGTGGTTGGCATGCCAAATTTTCTTGCAGACTCATAGGTAGGTCATTTTTATTTCTGTACATACTTCAAGGAGACTGACTGTGTTGTCAGGAAATAATTTTCAGATTTGAGTTTATAAGGATGCCCATAAGCCATGAATCGGTTTGCTTTAATACTGAAAAATACTCTTCAAGCGTTGGTCCTGCCTCTCTGGTAGGACCAGACGTGTTCTGCGTGCCACTCAGTTCGGTTTTTGTTCTCTGGCATCACCTCTTTCGCTGCAAGATGGGGTTTTCAGGCTTAGTACAGAGCAGGTTAACGCTGCTTTGACTCTGACTATAGAACAAGCTGAAGTACAGTTCTTCTATTGCCTGCTCATTTGTCAGCCTTCAGTGCCCCTCCTGTGTGACTCCCTTTCTGTAAATCTTTGTCTTTTTTTATGTTGCTCCATGTATTTGGAACAACATCGTTCATCTTGTGCGTGCAACATCTTCGTTGTTGCTTAACAAAGTCCAATGCTTTAATTTCTTCATTGCTGACTGACAGCTTCAACTTCTGACCTGCGTTGCGCAGCTTTCTGTCTCGTGTTTGTGCCGTTTCTGAAGAGCACCCTGCAGTGCAAAGCACGTGGTACATGTAGGGTTCTTTGTAGGCTGGTGGAGGGGAGCCAGGAGTGTGCTGAGGTCATTTGTGCAAAAATACAATTTTGGTGAAGCTGATGAGCATTTTCAGTCTGGTCCACGCTGTGCTCTTTCCTTTTTGTTATCATCATCTGTGGTGTAACCTAAGTCTGAGTGTAAACCTTTCCTTTGATACACAAGCAGGTTGCGTATCAGCTGAGCCCATTTCTTTTTAAAACGGGATAGCTTGTATTCAGGTGTGTCAAATGGCTTTTTGATTAATAATTAGAACATTTATTAATCATAAATCTGTCTCTTCACTTTGGAAGCAGAGACATCAACCCAGGACCCCAATCCAGTATGGCTAAAGCATTGTTCCATGTATCTGGTGTGCATAACTCTGTGTTTTTGTTTCTCTTTAGATGATGAAAGTCAGACAGAATCAAAGCTTCATCATGAACAAGATAAATCAAACTCCCTTCCCATTCCTTCAGTTTCCAAGCGAATTGTGCTTGGTGATTCTGTCTGTAATATGGCAGGCACAGCTGACCATGCAGGTAGCATGGTAGACCTCAAGGGGGATAAGGACTTGTTCAGTAAAACTCCAGAGCTTGTCAATGAAGGTACAAGTGAGCTACGTCACCGTAACAGAGGGGAACTGCCATCTGAAACTGCACCACGGCCACCTAGACATGGATTAGACCAGTACTTATCCAGATTTGATGAAGCTCTGAAGCTGAGGAACCAGCTGATGAATGAGAAGCCAAGCCAAGAGAATGGGAATGCAGTGGAGGAGTTTGACTCTTTCCGCATTTTTAGATGGGTGGGATGTGCTCTGCTTGCTATCGCAGTCAGGGCTTTTGTGTGCAAGTACTTGGTGAGTTTGGGAAACAAACAATCCTATTCTGTTTTGCTAGTTTATTGCAAACTTACTGTGAAATACTCTTTATCTAAGACTGAAGTCTATCAGTAGCGACTGAGTTGGGAACTTCAGGTGCTCTTTACGTTTCCAACAATTGTATAAAACAGTGCTTGAGGAGCAGTAGCATTGAAATAGTTCTTGCAGCTTAAGTCCCCTGCAAGTTTATACCCATCTTTGAGGAAGAATCAACTGCTCTTCTTGTTTGGACCCTACAAAAGAATAACAGAGTAAGAACAACAACAGTTGTCCCAAGAGAAGCAGATCCTACTCATTTATCACTCTTCTGAGAAAAGTAGTTCCTCAGTATTCCGGGTGTCTGCCAGTACATCGTACAGAGGTGCATGACTGGTACAGCCTGCCACCTCCTGGATCACTGGGCTCATTATTTATTTGTACGCTTCTGCGATTTCAGGTTTTTAGGCTCAAAGAAAATAAGGCAGAACCTTATTTTTGACATGTAACTTGTTCATTTGGGTTTGTAGTATTCAAGAATACCATTGCTATTGCCCACAAATTACTATTTTACCTACCTAGTTTTCTTTTATGACTTAGGAAGCATTAAATTTCTGTGTTTTTAGCTATTACTTCTGACCAAATTAATTTTTGTATATTCTTTTCTGTTCCTTCAGTCAATATTTGCACCATTTCTTACTCTACAACTTGCTTACATGGGACTGTCCAAGTACTTTCCAAAGGTAAAATATTTTTTTCATAATTAATTTGAAATTTTAAAATTTAAACTTGTGGTTAGATTGTATTGTTTTAGGACCAATGCATATGAAGTATTCTCTTGTCTTAAACTATAAAATTGAGAGTTACCAATCTTTTTTTTTTAATCTTCCCAGATTTAGTCCAAATCTTTTTTTAAAGTTGATGTGAAAATGTGGACCAGCAACTTGTTTAGCTGTAGTCTAGTTAAAAGCATCTGACCAGGAAAGCCAGGTAGTTCTTTCATGTTTTAGGCAACTTTTGCTTTTCTCCTAGACCATGCTCTTCTGTGGTTATTGTTTCTCTGTCAGCAGCTGTTTTGCATGTGATACCTGGATGAAATTTGGGAGGATGTTAGTTACAAAATGAGAGTCCCTGGCTTTTAAGGGCTCTGCATTCTATTGCTAATGTCAGTTTGAATGGCAATTTGAAACGAGACATTTATTTGTGCGTGAAACTTGCTGCTGATTGGAAAGATTTGCTGTATCACTTGCTGTGTAGCTATTTTTGCTATATCACTTGCTTTATATATTTACACCAGTTAATTATGCTGAAGTATTCGTTTGGTTGATGATTTTGTGAGGTCTACAGTGCAAGGCGGGATTGAATGATGCTCAATTCATAGCTGAAAGGGAAAATTTTAAAAGGAATAATAGAGTAACTGTAGAAAATCAGAAATAAATCAGCAGGTTTTTTGTAGTTAAGTATATAATTGAAAACTATACTTCAGAGTAGTCATTCTAAGCTGACGTGTCGCAACACAAAACAGTAGAATTAGCCTTAGACTTGCACTAGCTCATCTACTAGGTCTTTTTGATCTCGTTTCTGCTGTCTTTACAACCAGCTCTCCAGTTTCAGAATTTAAAGAGGTGGTTCCTTTCCACAACTTGCTTTTACTACACTTATAGCCAGATGAAGTGAATCAGCTTGTTATGCTTCATTTTTCTCGCATGAAACCTAGAAGGATTCTTGAAAGCTTAATTTAGATTGGATTAAATGAAGATATCCTGCAAGTATCATCAAATTACCACAATTTTCAGCCACTGTTACCTTTTCCTGCCTGTCAGACTTCGCATCCTCGGGATTCATCATCTTAAGGACAGAAGAACAGCTTTCAAAGGATTTTTTTTTCATTTCTGAGTTCGGAGGATAAAACTGCCAAATGGAGTCATACTAAGATATAGAAAGAAACAATTGGTTTTCAATTCTAAATAATTTTTCTGTGTTAGAAAATTAACAGTATTTTTTGCCAAGTAGCGTGATGAGATTAATCCTGTTCTGCCAGTGGAGATGTGTGGCTTGGCTTCTTAGACCCAGACTGCCCTTGTCTGGGACTCTTCCCACTCATGCAGAAAGTTGCTGTACAGCTCCACTTACAGCCTCCTTGGAGTGCCAGCATGAAGTAGGCATAATATCTGTGATGAATTTTATCTGCTGTTAACCAGCCTCTCACTCTGCTCCAGTGGATCCATCACAGCATAAATCTGTAGCTAGGATAAGTGTTGTGAATACTGGCGTGTGTCTGGAGAGAATCAATACAAACCTTCTACTCTTACTGATGAATTTAGAATGTGCCTGGCTGTGTGTGAAATTAGCACAACATTCGTGACATGTAAAGCAGAACTGGATTATAAAAGAACTACTAACGTAATACTGTGTTGTTTTTTTCTTTTAGTGTGAGAAGAAGGTGAAAACAACAGTATTAACTGCAGCTCTTTTACTGTCTGGAATCCCTGCGGAAGTGATCAGTCGTTCCATGGACACCTACAGCAAAATGGGAGATGTTTTCACAGATCTTTGTGTCTACTTCTTTACTTTTATCTTTTGCCATGAACTTACTCTGTTTTTCGGTTCTGAAGTACCATGATGGCTGTAGAATACAATGCAGTAGTTACACTAAAGCTTGCTGGACTGTATTCCTTTAACGTTTGACTGTGCAGACAGGTTTAAACCTTCATTAAAATTCTTACCTGTTTGAATGCTTAAAAGGAGCCTTAAATCCAGTCATTTTGCAAAAGGAAGAGCAGGGCCCCAGACTGCCGGTTGTATTGGTTCAGTTTATTTAAATACTGTGTCTGCCTATTACAAATGTGAAGAGTAGGATGCAAGTGTCAGTGGATGATTTATTTGATTCAGTTAGATGATGCCCTTCTCAGCCTCCTTCATAAACCTTTACAAAGCTGCCTTTGTTCTTTTCAGTGAGAACAAAGAGAAGGAGAGTTCCTTTCAACGGAACCATACATATATCTCTCTCTCTAGTATGACTATAGCTACCAAGAACTGCTCATTTTGTGGTGTTCCCATTTTTTTTTAAGAAAGCGCTAAACAAAAGAAATCCCTGTATTCTGTTGTTCAAGTTCAGAATGTTGAATCAAGTAGCTGCTTCTGGAGAATGTTGGTGAAACATGCCACTTTGTTGTCCTATTCGTTGCCTTGCTATACATTATTTGTTGTGATTGTGAATAATTTCATTTGATGGTTATAGTGCAAAACAGCTAAGCGAAACCAACAACAAAAAAGTCCTGTTGCTTACAAATGTTAATCAAAAAGCAGGAAGAAATACAATAGTTCATCTCACCTGTTTGTGAGTTTCCAACAACCCAATCCTAGTGTAGCTCATACCTGTGCTTTCATTAAGATGCCTTTTCTTTATTTTAACAGCTCATCTCATGAGGGGAAAAATTGTGTTTATTGGCAACAAACCTGCAGTATCAAATGTTTGCTTTAGTATACGTAAAATGTACAAGGGAACTATTTTTTTTTTCTAGCTTTTTACAGGAATGCTTAAGACAACTTCTAATGAGACATTAATTTCTGCAGTTTGACATTAATTTCTGCAGTTTGACATTAATTTCTGCAGTTTGACATTAATTTCTGCAGTTTGACATTAATTTCTGCAGTTTGTTTATTACCAGACATTTGCATGTAAACCGGATCTTAATTGCGGAGAAGTTCTGTTCCTGCTATGTAATACTACACCCCAACAGTATAGTCTTTGATTCAGCAGAGCTATTTAATATTTAAGTTATGTTTTTGGTGTGCTCTTGAAATTGCCCCAGTGAAATCTCAGCAGCCATTCCTGTTTAAATCCCGTATACTGCAAGTGACAGTGAAATGAAAAATATTGCTTTGAGTTGACTCCCACATGCAGATCTATATATGAAGGGATAATAGCATTTTGTATTTTTTTCTGTGGATGTCCAGCCACTTAGGTGAAAAGATGACAAATACAGATGAATCCTGTCACCGGATAAAGTAGCAAGCTAGCGAATGCTCTTGTTTTCAATCTCGTGAAATTTTGCACAGTGAGAGGAAGGAAGTGTCATTCCAAATAATCAGTTTAAGCACTGATAATCTGTTAAAATTTCTGTTGAAGCTAAATTTGGTATTCTTTTCAACTTGTAGTTTTCTGTTTAGGATCTGGGCTTTCAGGTAATCTAGACCAATGCCTTTTTTTGGCATAGAGAAACACCTGTTTATCTCGGTATTTGTCTGCAGAAGTTTTTTTAGGGAGCAAAAGTGTTTGATTATGCTTCCTTAAAGTAAATAGCCCTGCTTTCTGCTTAATCTTCTCTGTTAAAACTTCCTGCTACAATTTTAGCACTGCATTTCTGACTCCTAAATTAGATACATGTTTGTTTGTGGCATGAAAACAAGAAGCTTATGTTTTGATTTGACAATTTCCGTGGTTTTACTGATTATTTTGCAGTGAGTATCATGTTATAGGTGTCCAAGGCTGGGCTGCAAAAGATTCTAATTTAGGTCTACTAGCACCAATATTTACTCAGAGCTTGAAATTTTTTTATATTAGATAGGAATTACAGCAAATTGAAATAGCTGTCATTTAAATTAAGGTTGAGAGATGTAAATAATGAGTTTGCTCAAAAGTTACACTTGTTCTGACTCTCCAGTTATATGCCCAAATGTAATACAAATAAATCGCAAAAATACCGTGTACTAACATCTGTAAAAAGCAATGAACTTTTAATCCTCAGCATGAAAATTTTAATCCTAATGAGCTAAATACGAAGAAAAGAGCTGACCCACCTGCTGTACCTTCACTCAATGCTATGCGAGGAAAGATGAAGTGGGTGAAAGCAGTGAAAGAAATCTTGCTGCGAGACCTAATCTCGAACTTTTCAGCCCGTAAACACTTGTTTTTTGTCTGACGGCTTCGCGGTGGGCTGGAGGAAGCCTCCCTGCCCCTGGTGAACGGGCATGGCGCCAGGAGGGGCTTCTGCTAAATGACGCTTCTTCCCCTTTGGTCAAGAAGTGAATCCCTTTTAGTCCGTTTTTAACTTATCTCCGTTCGTGTACATAATTCTATTTAATGTTTATTGCCAAACTGATCATTTTCTATTAAAAGTATATTTGTTACCCCCTTCCTTGGCAGTTTGTCCTGGCTTGGGAGGAGGGTTGTGGTGCGCGGCAGACACTTTGTACCGGGAATTCCGCCTGGGCGCGGCAGCAGGGACAGGGCTGAGGCCTTTTCCGGGGCAGCTGCCCCTTTTGGGGCGCTGCCCGTTTTGGGGCCCCGCTCTGGCGTTGCGCCCTCCGACCGCCAGGGGGCGCCGCAGCCGGGCGG